AATAGCCTGCCGCAGCTGAACGTGCTCAAACATCTTGGCGTAGTTTCTTGTCGTTTTGTCGTCCGTTTTCGAGGTATTCTCGATTTCAGTTGATTATAGAATTTCAGGAATTGAATCAGCTGCAATGGATGACAAATCGGCTGCAGAAGCAGCCAACAATAATCATGTGAAACTCTCCGAAGTTCAGCTAGTGCAGAGCGAATTTGGTGCTCCGTTGGATGAGTGCTATAAATTGGCGATTAAGTACTATAAAGGTGATCTTCATACGTTTATCATTTTTGTGCCTTCGTTTTCCTATTTGGGATTTATGTTTATTTTTTGTAAGAACTAATTTACTTTTTTTAGAAAGGGAGAAAGCTGGCGATTTGGGTGTTTCTTATGACGATCGCGTAATGTTGATGGCTTTGAGCAAGCAGGTTAAGAGTTTCTCCGCTACAATTTTGTGCTCTTATTTTCTTTGATTTTGTGCATAGATATGGTTAGCAGTATTTTAAAACGCTAAGACGCTACATGTTGTTGGACAAGTTTCCAGAATTTTCCAATTCAAGTCACTTTTGTTTGCGTTTTCATCTTTGCTAATTTTAAAGTGGAAAGATAGCTATATTTGGCCACATAGAAGTCAAATTTTTCCTCATTGTCTTCTTTGTTTATTCAGCTTTGATTCGCAACGGCGCCTGGGGATTGTTTAATTGAGTTTGACGTAGGTGATAGTCACCTAGGTAACCACAAATGGTATAGCGACCAATTTTTTTCGTGAGTAACGCGCTCAACAATCGTAATCTTCGAATCACGAAGAAAAGGTGATCACGAAGTTTCATGAGCGATGCTTTTGAACCGTCAACCTAATGAAGGAAGAATCAAGCTTGCAGAATTCTAGAACTACTGTACCCGCGTGAACGTTTTGAATTGAGTAAAAGGAAATGTCGCCTCTATACTAATAGGCATTTTCGATGCTTTTATAAGGCTCGACATAAGGAAATGATTGGCGCATTTCAGCAAACTACTCTGCTTTTTTCCGCTAGATTTTTTAATAAATAACGTGGTAGCTTTACGGCGTAAAGACTTTTTATATGCTTATTACTTTCTTAGTGACTATAAAATCCACAGTTTAAGTGCAAATCCTCAGAATGATGTCATGCTGCAAACTATAGTGCACCGTGTGCATTGCGGTCTACTGATCATTTTTTCGTCATTTACAATGTATGCAGTTGTTTTTTGTAGGTTCGACTTGGACCATACGCAGACAATTCCGACGGCGCTGGCTTTTTCGATCTCTTGGGTAATGATATCAAGTAAGTCATTGTATTTCTACATTTCGCTCTATTTTTATTCTGGTATATCTATGTCGTTGATGCTATCATCCTATCTCAGCGAAAAATTGATTTATGGGTTAGCAGATTGAGTGTAAGATCAGTAGGCTATCAGTATCACCTCTCTCTCTTCGAAATTGTTCTGAATTTTTGTCGTAAATTACTTTAGCACCTGTTATCTTGTGCTGGGAAGTTGGCAACTGTCTACAATGACATTTAGAGGTTAAATCTTAGTCTTCGTTCACATTTTGTGCATTTCTGAATCTTCATCCTAACGAAGCTCTGCTTTCACCATTTCAATTTCTTATCCACAATACCTCGCCTTTACATCCCTATCGTTTTATCATGATTTATTATGTTCCAGCTGAATTACTTGCCAAGCTTCCCCGCTCTTTCCTCTCTCACATAGCTTTCATAGCACCAGATTTTTCCGAAACAGACCCAATGATCTCCATTGTGTTTA